TCATTCAAAAAATAATTTGCACCTGTTAATAAAAATATTTTAACTTAATCTATTTTAATTGTATATAAACTAAAATAAATCTTTCTATGGAAAAATGTTAACAAACTTATTTAAACAGCATAAAATCACATAAAATATAAATACAACTGTTTTCAAAATTTTGAAAAACGATTTTTTTTTTTAAACGGTTTTGTTGATAAAAGTACAATTTGTTATTGTTTATCATATTTGTATCTGCATATTTATCTTCACTTATACGTCTATAAATTTAACTATTGCTTGAGCTCGTTACGTTAGGCATGTAATGTAAATATTTAAAATAAAAAGAAAAGAATAAACGTTTTATTAAAATTGTTATTAAAAACTTTATTTATTAACTTATTTTTTACCTCTTCATATTGCGATACACCTCGAATAATTCTTGTCAGTCGGAGCAACTTTAATAGGTTTAACAACTTTGATACTTTTAAAATTTTGATAACCCTGGATGCACCCTTTAAGCCAATGCCTACTTCCTCTCTACTCCCCGCAAATAACATGAGTATAAAATGCAATGGAAGAGTGCTAATAACATCAATAGTAAACCAAGTCTTGAAGTAGCTAAACACAAAAATATTTGTAATACATTAAACTCAAGAAATTGAACATCCTACTGTTGTAAATTCTTTATAATTTTATTTTTTGGATAATATATTTAAGGATTTACTTGCTAATAAAAGCGGTAAAGTTAGTTTTTATATCCGAAATTACCTGATTTTTTATCTATTATAAATTTTGTAATATAAAAGATTTTATATTTCAAAACTTAAGTAAATATTATCAAAAATATATCCATAGTTATTACGTTATAATATTGTATACTAAACCCCCAAGGTAAGCCTGACTTAACTTATAGATATTAGCTTTTTTTAAAAGTCATAAGATAATAAACTACCTACTAATAAACAAATTTTCTTGAAATAAAATACTAAAATGAATCAAATTAAAAGACCAGAACAACTTTGAAGTTTTAAACTTTTCTAAACTTTTCAAATCTTGCTGGTGCAATAACAAAGTGTTGAAAGGCGGCAAACCTGCCGCCAAAAATAAAAAGCGTTAAAGAAATTGATTAATAAAAAAAATGAAATAAAAAAATGATAAAGCAGGAATAAAAAGAAGAAAAAAAGAAAAAAAGAGGATGTCTTTTCAGAAGGATATCCTTCTAAACAAGGACGTTTTAAAGAAATACTATACAACTGTTGAAAGCATTAAGAGGAGACATTCATATGAAAAGCAGGGTTCCAGAACCAGATTAAAAATTCCAACACACACAAAAAAACAAAAACAAAAAAACAAAACAAACAATTATCGCAAAGAAAATTATAACTGCCACGTAAAATTTTAAAAACAATTTTTGTTTTCAAAATTTTAATTTTAATTTTATTTTAAACATTTTCTAAAGATTTATAAAGGACTATTTAAATACAGAAATGTAATTTTTTGCTACAGTACATTTCTTTTCTTTTTTTTCAGCGCCTTATAAGCATAATAAGCATATAAGAATTATAAGCATAAACAAAATAAAAATTGCTATTAATTGCGAAATGCGCAAATTATACGTTAAAAATGCGTTAAAAATTACCTAAATGTGTTATTAGTATAAATTAGAAATAGAACTTACTGCAATGCAATTTTTTTCCCATCAAGTTGAAAATCACTTTTTTCAGGACCAGCTCGGTACCCAGTTCTGAAGTTCATTAGTATATCGATTAAGCACACTATATCAGAGGTAATATGAAAAGCGAAGAAAGTGTTGGAGATGCCTGTAACGTTATGATCTCCGTTAGAGCTTCTTGAGGAAGTAATGTTGCCAACATTGTATATATTATTAGAAAAAAAACTGATATCCAGTGGAAGAACAAACATGTTTGTTGCAAGCATCGCCATTATTAGTAAGTCCCAATACTGCCTATACCAAAAAATAAATTTATTTAATTAAATTTTGTATACAAAATAAAGCAATTTAAATAAACAAGAAGTAAAAAAAAAACAACCTTAATTTGCTCCATGGATGTATAACAAAGCCAGAATTTTTTGAACGTTCTCTTTCAAATTCCATGGCTTTTTTTCCTCCGAAGAATTTTATCGTTTGGTTGTTGTGAGCCGGACAAAACAAATCTTTTATAAGATCGGCGGATGTGTTTTTCTTTTTAAAAAGTTGTCGCTTTGGCTGTTTTTTGAAACTCATAAAACTCTTCTCTGCTTTTTGATCAAAATGTGGAAAAAGCATTGCGCCTAAAAAATCATCCATGAGGTGCATTGGAATATCTTCATCAGACGCTTTGATGTTGACATCTTCTTCAGTCATTTTGATGTTAAAATTTTTTTCATTATCTTTTAAACATTCTTCAGCTTGTTTTTTATTGTTCATTACAACATGATTTTGTTGCTTTTTTTCTGTTGTTGTTTTTCCAGTGTTTTCTTCACAATTCATCTTTGATTTTTGGTAAGATTTTTCGTTAACTAAATATGTCGAAGGATATACACACATTCTTCATAAGTCAATATTTTAATGCAACCACAGCTTAAAACGTATGTTTGACAATAAATAGTAAAGAATACAATAGTTCTTTATGTTTTTTTTTTTATTATTTTAAAATTTCGTTTTACAATTTTTCCATGTAAAAATCTCATGAAAAATAGATCAACATGTAAATGAAGCTTTAAGAAATGACGACATTGATATTCTGGTAACCGACTGAAATAGGAACATTATTAAAATCAATCGGAACAAGCTCAAAAGTCCATGATGGCATGGTCATACTAACGACGGTATTTTAAGTTTTATAAAACAAAACAAAAAAACTCAATAATAAAAGAAACAGAAATGGAAATAAATTTAACAAATGCTTTAAAACAAACCTTTGAAAAATAAACATTTAATTTTTCAACATTTTTTATTTGATTCACTTGAGATGGCTACATCATCATAATACTTTTTATTTTTTTGACCATGTTTTTAGTAAAATATGTAAAAGTAAAAAAAGGTTTTCGATTCTTAGATTTGTTCTAAATGTTTATGTCTTGTAAAAGATTGTACAATTATCTATAATACACAAGAAAATATAATTAAAACATGTTTGAAAAACAACATTCAAATTCATAGATTATTTAAACAAAGCAACAAACACCCGTTAGTTTTGCTAGGAAACTCTTTCCTTAGATTTTTCTTTATTTGGACTCTTTTTAATTAATTCATCAACTTTGGTTTTAAAGAATAAACACCATAAATCATGAATATATAATCTATAATTTAAATAAATGAAGGTATAATTTACACAATTGTATTATAAGAAGAAGAACAACAAAAAAACAACTAAAACGACAGCAAAAATATAAACTAAATAATAATGATAATAATCTGTTTTGCGGTGTACCATCATTCAAGACAAAGAAAAATAAATTGACTTTTAAGTTAAAATAAACCATATAATTTCTAGGATTTCTTCATAAAATTTTGATTCTTTTACTCACGATAAATTATTTAATAAACACTTTTGTACAAACATAAAATAAAAACAAAAAAAAATGTTTATATACTAAATTTTATACTATTACTTTTAAATAAATAAACATAAAGTTTGGCATTTGAAATCGCGCATGCTTTTTTATTTGTTTGAATTTTTTTTTAAGCTGCATAGCTGGCGGACACATATATTATTTAATGTCTTTATTGTCTATGAAATTCAGACAATTTTTCTAAAGAGAAAATATTTTCAATTAATGCCTCCTCCCTTTGCTCTGTCTCACTCTCTTTTTATTTAGATTTGTTGTATTCATATACATACGTCCTCATACAGTGACAAGAGAGAACGTGCTTATTGATTATTCAGTGACAATAAGAAAGTACGTACCCATCGGTTATTTTATAATATTTAGAAAGTACGCGTTCATTAATTATTCCGTGACGATAAAATAGTACGTTCCCATCGGTAAATTGGCGATATTTAGAGAGTTCATTTATTTAATCAGTGGCAGTAAAAGTGTACACGCTCATTGATTAGGTAGTTAAATTGATGGTGAATTGTTAGTAAATTAAACAATGTTTTTGCATAAGCTGACCGATATCCAACCAAAGCTACTACGTTAACTTACGCAATAAAATCAGTAAAAATTTTTAAACCTTTAGATTAGTCTAGATTCCATTAAACTGTTTTTTTTTTTTTTTTTTTTTTTTTGGGGGGGGGGGGGGAATTTGAGGGAAATCTCTGTTTAAAAAATACAGCATCAATTATTTACTTCGCTCGGCCACGAAAATAATTTACGGTACATATTTTTACATTTTTGTTCCGTTTTTTGAAAAAGTGTTAGAAATTTTAAATAAATTTTATTAAAAATTATTGATAGAATAATAAAAAAAATATTCAAATATTTAAAAAAAATTAGCATAATTTTTCTTATTTCTCTTTTCTATTTTGCCGTTTGTTAAAAATTACAAAAAAAAAATTACAATAATAGAAAATCCTGGCAGGGGCGAGAAGAAGACTTGTCACCAATCCCCTTTACATAAGTAAATAAGTGATAAATAAAACAGTATAAGTACATACAAAACTTCAGCAATAAAGAAACAAAAGCAATTTAAAAAAATAAAATAAGCTAAAAGTGAGATCATGGTGAAAGTTATCAACCACAAAAAATTGCGTTAAGTTTAATTAAAAATAATACCATATAAATAAGTATTTATAGCTGATTAAAAAATATCAACAAAAACATTAAACAAAAACATAAAAAAAAAAAAAAAAAAAGTAAAAAAAAAGATGTTTTATTTAACTCAAAACCTTTTAAATTGTTTTTAAAAAAGATCTTTGAAATCTAGTATATTGAAGTCCATGTTTAGTAAATGCTGTTTTAAATAAGCCTAAAAACTTTCAAAGTGCAGTTTGAAACAAAGTCTTGTTTTTCATTAAAAATATAAAGAAAATTATTTCAAACAAAAGGTCCCCGAAATTAAATTTGAAAAACTACCCCCAGGCAACGTTACAGTTAGAAAAATAGCTGTGTATAAACAAAAAAATATATATATTTAAAAGGTTTATTAAAAAACGGTTTTGTTCGATATAACATGGAAATTTTCAATATATTTAATATGGAATTTCCATGACAATTTTTTCATCTAAAAGCACTCCCAGAAAGTTTATATTCAATTCCTTTTATGTTATTGATTAAAAGATTGGCCATTTTAAGAGAAATATTATCGGCTTTACTAAGTTTATGGAATAGGATAAATTGGTTTTATCCAAACTCTATGAAAGTCGGTTACTTATAAACCACTCGTTGATCTTATTTATTTCTTCGTTAAATGTTTTAGAAAGAAAAATAATATGTTTGTAAGAATAAAATAAATTAGTGTCATCTGCAAATAAAATAGTGTTTAATATTTTTGATGCTAAATATAGGTCATTTAAAGGAAAAATAATAATGGTTCTAAAGTAGAACCCCGGGGGTACCCCGCAAGTTTTAATGCTGTTTTTTGAATTTTTTGATTCTATAAGTATAAATTGCTTTCTGTTAGTTAGATATGGTTTAAACCAAAATAAGCTTTTATTTTAACCACTATAATTTACAAGTTTTTTTCAAAGATTCTCATGATTTGGATAAATCAATAAAACCTCTAATTGTATAGCCTTCACTATTAAATCCATTTGATATATGTTTAACCAATTCTATTATTATTTATTACAATCATTTAATTATTGAATCAAAACTGATTAAAAACTTTCTCTCTCATACATTTTATGAGGGATGCTACGCTATGCAAATTTTGTCTCTATAAAAAAAATATAATTACAAAACTACTAGCAAAACGCATTATAAAGAACTATTTTAAAATCATCACATGCTCAATGTATTTCAGTTTTTTAATTTTTATTTTTATGTACAAACATCATAATAAAAGAACTCCTATAATATTTAATAGAAAGTTTAATAATGTTTACCCTACAAGATTTTCAAATTACTATTATAAGCAACCTAAAATGTGTTATTTGGCTACCAAGTTTGTATAGCCATCAGTGGTTCTAAATTATAGAACACTTTATTAAATAACGAACTGAAAAATTGTTCTTCTCTTTTTTTATTTAAACAAAAACTTATTAATAATAGAAATGGATTAAATTTCCTTTATAGTTTTATTATTTTTTTATTTTCTAATTTTAACTTCTATTTTAACTATCATTTTTCCTTTTAACAACAATTCTATTACCTCGACTCTAAATTTTCTTGAAATTATTATATTCCAGTGGACATGCGTTGTCCAGGGGACGTCCATTACACGTTTTACGGAAGTCTGGATGTCCGTATAACGTGACAGCTTAGTAGGCTTAGTAATAATGCAAACATTGTCTTCTTTTTAACCCGTTCATGAGATACTATTTATACAACACGTTATTACATGTATTTTTTTTTCTGACAAACTAATTAAAATATTAAAAGTAAAAAAAGTTTATTTATTAACCAATAAATAAAATTCGCATGCGCTGATACCAACGAGTATGATTGTTTTAATTTACGTAAACATTTATGTTGTAAAACATAAAATGCAATAGAAAACTTAGTTTAAACAAAAACATAGTTTAAACAAAGGAGATCAAAAGTAAGTACTTTCATTATGATTTTTGATTTTTTTTTTATTTTAATTCACCTCCTCAAAGCCGAGAAGGCCACTACAGACGAGGAGGCTACTTATTTGTGGTTATAACCCTCTCTCAACTATATAACTCCGAAACGCGAATCTTGACGAGCAAGGCTGCTGCACGGAGAAACGAGTTGAGCGCGGTACTACCAGGGACGTGGTGGGGATCGAACTCGTAACCACTCGTTTATGAAGCGAGCGCTCTACCACTACACCACTACCGCATATTTAGTCTATAAAGAAGTATAAAACAGTGTAAATTAGTATAAATTAGTATAAATTAGTAATAAGTATTGAGAGTATAAAAACATATTTTTTTAAATCTGCTAAAAACAATATTGTAGTTTTTCTATACAATGCATCAAATTGAGCCTTAGACACCCTCAGTTTTTTGTCATAACAAAACAAAATAGTATTTTATCTCACATATTTTACCTTACATATTTTATCTTGCATATTTTATCTCACATATTTTATCTCACATACTTTATTTCACATTTCACTTACATATTTTCATTAGTTTTCATTAGGTAAGATCTAATAATAAAAAAAAATAATTCTAAACTTAGCGAACAAAGTTATGCCGCTTCCTCTAGTATCTTCGTTATATTTTTATGTTTTAAATTTTTATTTTTGTTTAAAATTAAAAACATATTGAGTGTCAATAGGACTTGGTGTCAAACTACATCAACTACAAAATATTTTGATTCTATGATTCTTTTAATATATACTTGGAACAAGCCATTAAATCTACAATTAAAACTAAAGAAGTTAGGTTGGGTTTTGTAGAACTAAAGTGATAACTAAAGATATAAGGTTTTTTAGGTCTATATGTTACCCAACGTTTTCTGATGACAAGTTTTGAATTCAAATTTTGTTGTTTATATTATTTTTTTAATAACATACAAAAGGGCCACATTTGTGAAACTCAAGAAAAAAAAAAAAAAAAAAATTTCATCCAAATAATAATAAAATTATAATTTTAATTCAATCCTTTTAAAATACTTAAAAAAACAGTTACCTTATTATTTATTATGACATATCTCAAATTCTATTCTATATTTAAAATATTCTCTTTGTTTTTTGTTTTTTGTTTAACTCTTCCTCCGTTTTCTTAAAAAGCGCTTTTAGTTTTTACATTATTATCTTTAAGTTTTTATTATTTTTTATTTTAAGTTGAATTAGGAAGTAAAAAGAATTTTGAATTATGAAAAAATTTAAGTGATATTAAGAAAAAAAAAACTAAAAACCTATAATCTTTTATTTAATTCCAATATAAAAGTTTGTACAAAATTGAACTAAATTTTAGTAAATAAAATAAAAAAAAGATCTAAAAAACGTTTTAGTAACGTTTTAGTATTAATTGCAAAGTTGCAAGTTAAATTTAAAAAATATATATAAATGATA